GGTTTCAAGGCCAACTGACAGGATATCTTAGTGGCCAATTACTGTTTTTCCCATATTTCTCCCATCACCGCTGGTCCCAATCGTCACCATTCTTTCATCAATTCAATTCTCAAACCCCACTGGTTCAACTCCAAACCTTCCTACCCCCTTCTACCCCTGTTGCATGTGAGGAAATTGAGTCGCATTCATCATCGGTTCAACTCCAAACCCGCTGGTCCCAACAGTCACCATTCTTTCATCAATTGTTTTTTCTGTTCCTTTTCTGTTCTTCTTTTTGCTGTCTTAATTTTTCCCTTGTGTTTTTTTTGAGGGCGAGGGGCGACCCTAGCGGAGGGTGATGGTGGTATGTTTTTATTTGCTGAATTTAAATTATTATAATGGAAGTATGAGTACTGGGGACTAGACTTGGTGTTAGTTTGAAAGGTACAAAGGACCTCTTCTTGATCTAGCATTTGTTATTTATCCACTGTCATATCATACATACATCCACTAACATGTTGCAGTTTCACAATTGTATGGGTCCATTTAAGATGGGAATGATTCCTCACCATTTCCAGTTATGTCTGTAGCCAAGACCCCTCATCATGTGGAACCCAAATCTTGTCAGTGAGGGTGTTGGTGTTGGAGTCAATGTTAGGAAGTTGCGCCGGTACTTTTTGAGGTAACTTTATGTCCTTTATTGTGCTTACAAATTTCCTTTCTAAATCTGTTAGGGAATACATGTCATGTCGAATGATTTGAATTGCTAGACATTGTACAGGGAAATTTGATTTAACAAAGTCTATTCCGGCTATTGGGGTATGTTAGACATGCCCTCTTCTGCCATTTGGCTTAACCTTGCTCAACTCAAGTATTCTTGAATCATGCTTTGGCTAAATCAAAAGCCATGATATTTTTTCTTGTAGTTATAGCTCATGTTTTATTGGATTCTCTCTGGTCCTTGGTGTCATTAGTTCGAACCCTATTTTTCATACTAGTTGGTGTGCACACGTGCGTTGCACATGAATAATTTTGAGTATGAAAATTGTCAATATAAGTGTTATGTAATCATATAAAACTTCAATGTTTTCTATGTGTTCTTATAGGTATTCATCAAAAGTTTTATATGGAAATTTCTTGTCTCTTTTGTCATGATTAAGATAGTGTTTGCAAATCTTGTTCCAATAACAATCTAGTATTTTACATTGCTAAATATTGATCTAAAAATAACAATTTTAGACAATTCGCTGTTTTTCCATAAACCAACGGAGAGAACATGACCAAAACATATTGACACATTTTTTTAATCATAATTTGCTATCAACAAAACTAATTTNAATTTCTTGTCTCTTTTGTCATGATTAAGATAGTGTTTGCAAATCTTGTTCCAATATCAATCTGGTATTTTACATTGCTAAATATTGATCTAAAAATAACAATTTTAGACAGTTCGCTGTTTTTCCATAAACCAATGGAGAGAACATGACCAAAACATATTGACACATTTTTTTAATCATAATTTGCTATCAACAAAACTAATTTTTATTGTTAAGACCTTGAACTATTCACATGGAGAACAGTACCCAATGATGTGTTTCAGTTCATAGCAAGTAATTATCCACAAGACAAATAAAATGTGCACTATTCATTATATATTTTAAGATTAGAGAGATCGTCTAAATCATCTAGCTTTATTGTAACTTATTTTATCTCATATGTTTATAGATGCTAGACAGTTAATTTAGATTAATAGATTAATATTGTCTTATAATTCAAATTTTCATTTATCAACCAAAAACCATTATCACATATAAATGTTTACCCAATGTACTAATTTTGTTCCTAAAATGATTCATAGGCTATTTTTTTCTTTCTAAAAACTGTTGACTATATTTATTGACTTAAAGTTTTTCTTCAAGTAGATTTATAATTCTATCTAACATACAACAACCATAAGTAGATTTTTGTCATCTAAACTAAACACCAAACAATGGTTATCCTATAGATTTTGCATATAAGTTGATAGAGCAATTGTGTTATGGATATATTAATATTTGACTCAATCGAAGCAAGATAAGAATGTGGGAGTTGAGTATCTAATATCTACGTTTATATCTCTTGGCTTCCTTTTGTTCAATACCTACAAATCAATACGGAAAGGGTGAAATAGTATTCCTAAGCAATGGTTTGAGTGGATCTCTCCACATTGAGAACAAAATTGTAGAAAAATAACAATATGAAAAATTCTCAACAAAGTTGTTATAAGAAAATTAAGGTTTTGTAAATGCAATGGCAAGTATAATCGGTGCACAGCTACTATTTTCAATTGTGATTTACAAGCTAATATAACAAACACAAGGTTTGTATTTATAAATAAACATTATAAAGAAGCTAACCAACAATTAAACTACTTGAGTTTAAAAAGTTTTGTCATCGTTCTTCTCTCGCCTCATGGTAGAATTTTCAAGCTAAGAAAGGTGTAACACAAATTTATTTAGACCAATAACAGCAGCATAGAATTTTCTTGTCCCTTGATAGCTAGCTCAAATTCGTTAGAAAATTGTGTGAGTATAAATGTTAAAGTTTTCAAATTCAAAAACTTTTGAATCATATATCCTATGATTAAAAATCAAAGTAAAAAAACATGGTTGATTAGGCCACCCTAACTGGTTGGAAGTTCTAGTTTAGTTGGAAGTTTGTCTATGTTGAAGAACTGATATGACCTATACGGATAGGAAGAAACATTGGAAGAAATGCAAATTCAAATATATATAACTACTCATGTTGGATGAAATTGATCAGAAGCACTCTGTGGGCAAATGACATTTGATTTCTTGTCTTAGTTGACATCTTTTTAAATTAAGTCACACATTATAAAACAGTCTTATAATCCAAAATATTATCAGTCTTTAGTGATTAAATAAAACATAAACTCAGCAAAGACGAGAAATAAAACACGAGACAAGCGGAGCACTTGGGGAAACAGAATGTAACTTAATTAAATAAACATAAACAATCAGAAAATATAACAAGTAGAACAAAAGGTAACTAGGCCCTTGAAGAAAATAGATCAAGGAAAAGAAAACCAATACCAATTACGGCAGCTTTTTCATTTCAGCACACGGTGAGAGAGGGTAGAAGTCTACTAAATATTAGACCACATGGATTTTTAAGAGAGAATCAATCAGACAAAGAGGTGAGAATATGAAACGATTGAAGTTCCAATTGATATTTGCAGGTTGAATACTTAATATAGCTACCTATAGTGTTTAAATGTATATGAGTTTTTGGTTTTGTGTATAGCGTGAATGTGGAAACAAGAAATGACCATTTTCAAGTTTTAGCATATGATATATTCAATGCACATTGAATATTTGGTCCTTAGTGCATTAAACTTAAATAAATGTACCAAGAGAAAACCTTTCATTTTCCATTGCTACAAGCTGTAGCTCAAACCCAACCGGTGCACCCATTTTTTTTGCCAATAAATATACATAGTTGTTATTCAAGTATGAATATGAAGAATCAAGATATTTAAAGATTTATATAATTAAATGAAAAAAGGATAGTATAGACATTAGTAGTTGTATTAAGGTTATTATAGTCAAACAAAAGTTTTTCACTTTTGTTGACATTTTATAGTAGTATAGATATGGTGCAGCCTTCAATATCATTCTCATTGCCAAATCATCTCACCCAAATTTTTCTGGCCTTGTTCTCAACCTTAATAATGTTGCCATTGCTAGGGACCTTGTCCACGTGCAATGACGGGTTGTACACTACACATATTGGACAATTCTACAAATGAGTTCGACATGGCCATAAAAATCTCCAATATCTTCTAAAGACATTTGTAATTGTAGACATGGTCAAAGCACTTTAAGTGTCAGGTGGTATTTTTATTATTGAACAACAAATAAATGTGATAAACAGACAGTTAATGATGAAGTATTAGTTATGTTGTTTAAAATCTTTTTTAGATTGGCAAATCAATCACATTTACGTATTTGACTCTTCCAATATACATATTCAAAAGCTAATACACATTTATGCATTGCAGTGATCATGCTCAATTCTTAGAACCCCAACATTCTGTTGAATGCATCTCGAATCTGTTATTTTTGTTTCTCTTTTGCACTTAAATCTCAATTCTTGTTAGCCTCATTTGAGTTACCTTATATTGGCGAAATCTTTAATTCTCAGGGTGGCCTTCTCTTTCATTGTCGATCAATATCCTGTCTACTGAGATTCTCTCACCTAAATCTTTTGGATGTTTTACATCTTTATAACAGCTTTATTTTGGAATGTGTCTGGAGGTGTGTGTATATTTGCATGTGGCTTGTGCATCTCTAAACTTCAAACTGAACTTTCCACTGATTACTGTATCAGGTCAAGTTTCCTACATCTTTCCTGCATGCTTGGCTGATATTTCCTCTCTCGAATTTGCAAAAACAAGTGATTATTTTTTTGTTGCTGAAATGTATCACTATCGTGCAGCACCTTTATGGTGGTTTACTCGATGAGGCCTCTGCAATCTGGTGCTGTATTCAGATGCTATCCAGAGTAAGGACTAAACTTTTGTCTTCTCATTCAATTCCCAACATTTCCAATGCCCAGGCTGAGAGTGAGGTCTGTGTACGAAACCTTTACATTATGTTGTGCCTAACCCCAATCCTCAGCCCTAACTACACCAAAATTATCAAACCCCATCAGCTTCGCTGCATTTCGATTCAGTATGCAATGAACGAACCCAAATTCAACGTTAGCGATGTTTTTTGATTTTTAATTTTTTTAATTTTTTTCTCTCACCACTTCACATCAACATAGATAATAATGATTTGAAATTTAATTTTAATCACTTCCCTGAAAAATGACCTTTGTGTACTTTGTAAACTACCTTGTTTTTTGGGTGAGCTCTCTTTTTGTATTATCGTTGGGTGTACATAAATGTGGAACACATATATGGTTACTGGATGGACTATTTTTAAAATTTGAAACCGACTGACCTGAACTTTGACCTGCATTGGAGCCTGTTCGAGCCCATCGTGTGGACCTTGGTGTGGCATTCATCAGCCTCACTGGCTCGAGCTGTTCTGTAGCTGGCTCCTATAATTTGTTAGCCGAAATCTTTCTGATCTCGATGTGCTCATCTAATAATCTCCACCTCTTTGTTTGATCTATTCTGATTCTTTTAACAGATTATGGAAAGTGTTTTATGATGATAAAGATAGGCCAAACAGATACCTGCTAGCCAAGGAAATGGTAAGCCGTCCTGATGCAGAGGACCTCGAGGTTAGTTGGTTCCACATATCTTTATAATCTTCATGAGAACAGGTCCAAATTATGCTGCACTATGATTGGTGTGTAGATGTTCTTTTTATTCCATGTATATGACCAAAACTACATTTTCTTTGTTGTGTGGTCCATAGAGATTGTTAATGTATGATGAAGCTCTTACAGTGTTAGTGTAGGGTTGAAATCTCTTCTTTTATCTATAGGAAAAACACTGAAAATTTGTTTTAGATGTGGATAAGAATTGGGGAAGCCTGCGGCCGGGGAGACGGGGGATTTCGATTAATTTTGTTTTTTTTCATATTTGCAGATAATATTTGGAAATGTTGAAGAGAAGTCAAAGAAGGGTTCATCTTTGTTTAATAAAGCAGCAGGCGTCTTCTCTTCAATAAATCGATTCATGAAAGTCATCTCAAGATGAATAGTCTCTCTCATTTGCTTTGTGTTATAGTCTTAAAAAAAGTCTCTCAGTAGGTATATCCTACATTGTAGGGAAAACATAGAACGACCATAATGCAATCTTATTCATAAGGCTTTTACCATTATGCAATCTTGTTTATCTGCCTAAATTTCCAAACCAGAGATGCACCAGAAAAAGAACTTAATTGAGCAAACAACCATAAAGTTGTGGATCTAAATGGGGAACAATTACTTTATACAAATAATATCATAGATTAGTCATCTCTCCTAACAGTTTTGATTAATGGAACTTGCTGGTTATTGACTCGTTCAGACCAAAAAAAAAAACACTAATACCATTCATCATTTAAAAAAAAAAGAACACTTATTTTTTTATCTACCACTCTTTGAAAAATAATTCCCAAAATTACACATTTGGCAGATGTGATTCATAAGCAATATTTTTTTAATTGGGAGTTTTGCTCTCTCTGTGCTACTTTTGGGTTTGCACAAGGAGAAAATATTTAATTTCACGGTGACATTACATCTGTCATACCACATGGTATTACTGTTCAATGATTAGTTAATAAGTGAACAATATAAACTTAAATTCCTAGAAAAAATATTCATTACAACGGTAAAATATTATCCCTTCGTCTAAGATAACCAACAATTATCTGTGTTCAAAGGTATTATGTAGCCAAAAACAAAAAAAGACAAAATTCAAATTACGCCTGTGGTTTGCACATTAAGCACATAATCCCCGACATTTCAAAATAAGCACATAACCACCATGTGGTATGTGGACTAATGTGCATAGTCAGAGTTTCCATCTAACTTGACGAGCTCTGTGATTCACGAACCTGTTCCACATCCCTCCAAAAATCTGTCTGTCAAATGTCCTAAATGCCCTAACCTTATAATACATAAGACAACATTTGTTCACCCAGAAGAAGAACTGGAGGTTGGAGGAAGAATAAGAAAGAAGAAGGAATAAAAGAGGGAAAGAAAAATAAGAGAAACTCAAGCATGTTGATCCTTGTTCATTTCTTATACTCATTTGCTTTATCATTTTGTTGCCAATAAGCTGTTGTCATTGTGGTTTAACTTAATATTTCAATAAGTGCAATAACAAATGCAAAAGAAATCTAAATTCTTTTGGTGTTTTTTGGGTGTATTTTCTAACATTTAGGTACATTATGTCATGTTCAAGTGTTATGGGTGGAGGGGAAACACTTGACTTAAGATTCATAGTAAAATATTGTGGATGTGGGCGAAAGGGTACTATCAAGATTGTCGAGTCAGAGAAACCATCAAAAGAGAGGCTATATTATGTGTGCGAGAATAAGTTTTGCAATTATTGGGCATGGTGTAGTCCAATTACAACCACATGGATCTCTAGTGGAATACCTGTCGTTGCCTTGGTTGACTTGAAGACAATAGATTTCTTTTCCTTTTTCTCTTGCACTTCATCTCTTTTGATGCCCATCTCTTAAGTCATGAGGGATCCAAGGAGTTCTTCAAGAGGAAGAGCTTTGAGGTCCTTTGCTTCAAGAATGACAGTCACCTTGGTATCCCACAATCTTGATACACCTAAGAATTTTTTTTACAAGTTCCTCATCAGCATATGATTTATCGAGAGCCTTTAGAGCATTAATAATGTTAGTAAAATAAGTAAACATTTTCGATATGTTCTTATGAGGTTCCATCCTAAATAGTTCATAGTTATGTACAAACATATTTATTTTGGATTCTTTAACTTTGCTAGTTCCCTCATGTGTGACTTCTAGCATGTGTCATATTTGCCTAGTAGATTCACATGTAGATATGCAATTGAATTCACTTTTATCCAACGCACAATATAGTGTATTCATGGCCTTAGCATTGCTAGTGTGTGCCATCTTTTAGCACTAGTCCATTTTTTCTTTAATTTTGTAGACTTTATATATCCATCTTCAATGATATTCCACAATGCATCATCTACAGACATGATATATATTTTTATTTTAGTTTTTCAATATGCATAATCATTTCCAATAAAGAATGGAGGTCTAGAGATAGATTGTCCTTCAACTATGTTTCTTTCTACGGTTGTTGTGATCTTTAACTCTAAGGTTGTTACATACTATGTCAAGAATCTTTGCTCTAATACCAATTGTTGTCCCAAATGCAACCTAAAAGGGTGGTGAATTAGGTTTTATCTCTTCAAATTTTTTTTCCAAAAACAAAATTACTATTCGTAAAATTGATTTGATTATAAGTAAATGTGTGTGAAATGAATGCGTAGTAAACAATAATATATTCACACAATAGATAAGAGCATAGAGAAGGAGATGTAAACTCTATTTCTAGAGGTTCGATCCCAAATCACTAGGCCTATGTCCTCTTTTCTTCCTTTACATGGAGTTTCCCTTTCACTATGTTTATCCTCTTGAAATGTGCGAAAATGAAACCCTTATAATCTTCTTCTTCTTGATAAAAAAGATGAACTCCCTTTTAACTTCAAGAAGAGTATACAACAATCTCTCTTGCTAAAGAATATGATCTCAATACAATATTCTCACGAAGCTCAAGAGAATCAAATAAAGACGAATAAGATATACACAAGAATCTTCTTCTTGAGATGTAGACAAAAGCTCAATGGATCTGTCTTTTGTTTTTGCTCAAAGATAAAATCTTCAAAAGTTAGTCTTGAAAACCCTCAAGACCCTATTTATAGTTTGGTGTAGTAAATGAGAGATTTAAAGCTGCTTGCAGAAAAATGAGTCATCCGAAAGTCTATCCGTACTTCTGGATGTAACCATTGGAGGCCTAACAGCTATAACTGGATGTCCAGATAGGCATTCGGACTTCCGATAAAACCTTTTGTTTAGACTTTATCTTGGTTCTTCAAAATCTTCATATTCTATAGAGTTTTGGAGAGCTTCTAGATGTTCATTCAAAATTTCGGATGATCAGTAACAAGACTTTTGGCTGGAACCAATCCATAATTCCAAAACTGCATTTTGCCTCTTGGTCTTATCCTTCATGGTTTCTTCACATCCTGAACTTCAGAGAGGTACTCTGGAATTCTAGAGTAGCCTTCCAGATAACACATTTGGAGTTCCTGAAGCTCTTCCTAGTACCCTTTATTTTCTCAGCCTTTTCTCTTCAACCAGAATTCTAGAAGAGCTATCCAGACTTCCGGTGTAGTGTTCTACCTGGCACATCCAAAATTCTAGATGTTTTTTCTAGATTATGATTCTGCTTTGGTTTCTATCCTTTTCTTTTCTTTTGCAACTTTGATACATGTCCAACTTGATCCTATACTCATCCATACACTAATTACAAGTGTCAGTTTTTTATTAGGATACTTGTGATCATCAAAATCATGCTTATTAAAGTATCGGTTCAACATTGATAATCTTCAAGGGTAGTGGAATTGTTGTCATGCCTAGGGATCAATTGCAGTAGTCTATGAGGCCTTTGAATAGGAGTTCTATGAAGCAAAGTAAGGCCCAGGTTGATTATGGTAGTTGAGGAGTGAGGAGAAGTTGTAGAAGATCCACCAGGTCATCTTTATACTAGTACGTTTAGGCCATCACCACCACCACGTGAGCCCAGTTCAGACATCATTTCTGCTCCGTAAGCATCGTTGGTTGATATGATTATGAGTATGCATCAACGCTTGGTGGAGCATCATCGTCTTACTTCTCAGATACTAGATGCGTTGGATGGTCGGATTGTGAGGATGGAGTCAACTTAGTAGGTTGTCTTTGAATCGCTTACTGGGAGAGTTGGTTGACTACGCAGATTGATTAAGGATAAGTAGATTGTGGGAGAGCCCAGTGCCAGATGAGAGAGATTCAGAAACAGAGCTGCCCTAGCATGATGGTGGACAAAGACGGTGGAGATGATGCAATTACTTGAGATGTTTTAAAGACTTTTAATTTAGGCTATATGGGAGTTTGGAGTATTTATTATTCATTCATTTTCTGTACTAAAGTGCTCTAATTTTTTTGTTGACTTTTCATTTTTGTTGACTTTTATTTGTTTAGTCAATTTTCGTTTGTGGTGACAACAGTCTTAGTCTTGTTTATTGATGCTTTATCATATTTAACTTAGAGTTATATGCCTTATTTGTCTTTTGGTTACTTTATGTGCATGTTTAGCTAGTTAGTCTATGTTTATACATTCTCGATACACCATGATTCTATATCATGCTTGTTATAAGTTGTCATTGAGTTGACATTTATAGCAAATAAGGAAATAATATATTGTGTAACTTGATTCTATACCGTGCTTGTCATATATTATCATTGGGATGACATTTGTGACAAATATAAGGAGAATATTTTAGGTACATATGAGAGGAATTAGAGAGATTTACTTTTGACTACGCTAGATATGTTGCATGTAAAAATAGTAAGGGAGATTTTATTCAATTACTCAGGGGTAGTAAATTTACAAACTTGACATGAAGTCATATATTTTACACTTGTTTATTTTAAAATTGTTATTGTACTTGTGAACACCAACTAAGGTGGAGAATTTGATGTGTTTGACATTGCTATGTCAATAGGTTCTCAAGCATATGGTGCGAAGTAGTTCATACTATATTTCATATTTGCAATTGCAGGAAGTAGACATAAATATGCCCTATTTTTAACTTGGTATTTTTCAAACCTGTGATTATGTTATGTATTTCTAACATTTGTTGCTTTTCACAAGGTTTTGGTTTGAGTGGTGATGTGCAGAACTATGATCTTCAAGCTATATCTTAAGAAGTAGATCATGTACTTAGATAGAGATTTCGGACGTGTGCATGAGTGTTGAGATTAGATTTATAATTCGTTTTGTTCAATAGTTTGTGGGTTGAAATGTTAATTTCTCGATTATTTATTTTGTCATGAAATTACGAAAGGGAGAGATTGTTAGATCACATTTTATAATTTTCTAATTTTGTGGAGTCCATTATAAATTTCAACTTATTCCATGATCATGATGCTATAAAGATTAAAGATTTGAAAAGTTATTCAAGGG